CCTTTAACACCACATGGCGTGTTCTAATCCTTGAGCAATTTTTTCAGCATTCCTGGCAGTTTTAGGCTATAAATAGTGGCTTCCTTCAGGTGTAAACCTATCTTGTCCTATTGCTTTGGTTGTTCTGAGTTGAAGTCACCTTTTCCAAGGGACATTTCCCTGTTCCCTTTCTAATGTTGTTAATTATGTTCTCAAATTGACCAAGGCAATTGTATTATTTATCAGTTGTCTTTTACTTTCCTCACTTTATCTCGTGCCTTTATAGACAGAATGGGATTCAATTACAGAACGAGAAAGGAGTTTCTATGGTTTGTATGTGATTTGTCCACTAAATGTATGAAGGAGTTTATACCACCAAGTCGTAAGCTAGTAGTAGTACTAAGCTGGAGGCAGGAGTGGGAGCCTTAATCCTATTATGATGCTAGGGGAGTTGCAAGAGAAAGTAGTTAGAAAAAGCCTGATTTGGCCCATTCTCTCTCTCTCTCCCTCTCTCTTTCTCCTGAGCTTTCTGGTTTGCTATATGATCCTTTTTCGCGCATGTTCTGTCATTGCCACCTATTCCAGAAGAGAGAAACCAAGTAAACTTTCTCACTTTAGGAATTTGTTTATCTTGGGGCTGGCCTTATGGTACAGTGGGTTAAGCCACTACTTGAGACATCAGCATCCCATGTCACAACACCAGTTTGAGTCCTGGCTGTTCCACTTCTGATCCAGCACCCTGCTAATGTCCCTGGGAAGACAGTGTGCATGGTTCCAAGTGCTCAGGTCCCTGTCACCCACATGGGAGGCCCATGTCAAGACATATGTAATGGTTTCGTTGGGAGTCCACCTTTTTTCAGGAGCAGGGATGCATACTGTAGCATATCTTCACTTCTCAGTATGCCAGTCTCCATCATACAGTTCCTTTAGGTGAATATTTGTTTATATGTGTTTACCTTTATATCTATGGATCTTGTATTTTACAAATGTATAAGTTAGAGAATGATTTGATGCATCGTAAACTATTTTATTTATTAGAACGCTAGTGTCAATTGTGGTGCAATCTGTTTTTTTTCTTTTTCATTTTTTATTATATTTTTGACAATCTTAACATAGTTAATTAGGGTAAAAAGGTTCAAGGGCTATAGGAAAGTGGGTAAGACTATTATTTCCATAGTTTCCTTCATGTATCTGAGGTAGAGGGGGATATTGAGGGAGAGGCCCCATCCAGTTTCCCACCTACCCCAGGTCCCGGGTGTGGGCATGCTCTGAGATACTTGCTCAAGTGGTTTTGATAGTTTACCAGTTATGAATCGCTGCCAATCTCGCCACTCCAAGCACAATGAGGTCGTTGAAGAATCCACTGATTGACATAGTCCATCATAGAGTCTCCATTTGCCCAGTATTTCGCTGCCAACATATGGCTAGGTGGTTGATTGACATGGTGTGTCTTCTGTCTTTTCTTGGTTAGGGTTCTGATCCGGCAATTCAATTGGGGAGATCCCCAAAGAAACTTTGTCTGAGGTGTTCCCAGACCAGACTCCTGTGTGTTCTAGCAAGCACAGGGCTGATGTGCTGCGATCTAATGAGCATCCAGTATTCCTCGAGGATCAGGAGAAGCCTCAACTTCTCCTGATGGGGTCCCTCCTCTTATTGTTCCCTGCTGTGGGTTTCATGTGATCATTATCTCAGTCAGGTCTTCTGAGGTGTCAGATTGAAGTCATCGCTAACACATCTGCATGTTTAAGATTGGTCTGAGTTGAACAACCCTTTTATCCTTCTTGGCATGAAAATCTCAGCTACCGAGGAAGTCAGTGATAGACACTTCTGTTGAACAAGGACATTATGGTCTTCCCAGGACTACTCACGTTGATGGCCCAGGGGTGGGAATAGCTTGTGGAGAAAATGAAGTCCTTGGTTTCCACAACAGAAATTTAGCCCAAACTCATTTCCACTGCCTTACCTGCCTTTGGTGTGCATCATGGGACATGAGGCAGTTTATTTCCTGAGGAAGAAAAGAAATCTAGACCTTTTGTTTAGATTTATTTATTTTTATTTGAAAGGCACAATTCTAAAGAGAAAGAAAGATCTTTCATCTGCTGGTTCCCTCCCCAAATGGCTGCAATAGCAAGAGCTGGGCCAAAGTGAAACCAAGAGCCAGGAACAGCTTCCTGGTTTCTCATGTAGGCACAAAGGCCCAAGAATTTCAGTCATCCTCTGCTATGTTCACAGGCCATAGGCAAGGGAGTTGGATTAGAAGTGAAACAGCCAGGCCCAGTGCTGTGGCCTAGCGTCTGAAGTCCTTGCCTTGAACGCGCCAGGATCCCATATGGGCGTCGGTTCTAATCCCAGCAGCTCCACTTCCCATCCAGCTCCCTGCTTATGGCCTGGGAAAGCAATTGAGGATGACCCAAAGCCTTGGGACTCTGCACCCATGTGGGAGATCTGGAGGAGGTTCCTGGCTCCTGGCTTTGGATTGGCGAAGCACCAGCCATTGCACTCACTTGAGGAGTGAATCATCGGATGGAAGATGTTCCTCTCTATCTCTCCTCCTCTCTGTATATCTGGCTTTGTAATAATAAGTAAATCTTAAAAAAAAAAAAAAAAGGGCCCGGCGCGGTGGCACAAGTGGTTAAAGGTCCTCGCCTTGCACGCCTGGGATCCCATATGGGCGCCGGTTCTAATCCCGGCAGCCCCGCTTCCCTTCCAGCTCCCTGCCTGTGGCCTGGGAAAGCAGTCGAGGACAGCCCAAAGCTTTGGGAACCTGCACCCGCGTGGGAGACCCGGAAGAGGCTCCTGGCTTTGGATAGGCATAGTATCGGCCCGTTGCGCTCACTTGGAGAGTGAATCATCGGACGGAAGATCTTCCTCTCTGTCTCTCCTCTCTGTATATCTGCCTTTCCAATGAAAAAAATAATAAAAATAAATCTTTAAAAAAAAAAATAGTGAAACAGCCAGGACACCAGCATCCACTTGGGATGCCAGAGCCATGGATGGAGGCTTAGCCTGCTATGCCCTGGGGCCACTCAGGTAATTCCCCAGTGACCTAGCATAGTGCCTTAAACCTGCTGCCTCTTAAATGTCTGCTAATCCAATATGTCCTATTGGCCAGTGATCTCTATTACTGAGGTAGCTTGTCTTCATTAATCTGTGAATGGGCTGTATTTGCAGGACTGCTTTATACTTTGGAACCTTTGCCAATAAGGAACTCTCCCATGCGATGAGGAGCTAGGTGGTATCAATTATACCCCTCTTACCTACAGCCGTCACCCTGGGGAGATCAGGCTGAAGCCAGCTGCCCAGGGCACCTGTCTCTGCTGTTTTGTTCTTCTCCCAAGCTCCTCAGGTGGATCTGTGCTTTGTTTGCCTTACTCAGTTATGGCAATTGTCCCTGGGTCTTCAGGTCCCAGAAGATGGCAGGTGTAACATTTTGAGCAGTTACAGTACTGGGGTCAGTGAGATAGGGAAATCCCAGCTACCAAATGGATGAAAGTACAAGTCTTAGGTGGGAAGTCTGGGGTAACCTTGGGGCATTAGGAAAGGCATTGCCTGAGGAAAGGAACTCCCAGGTTAATGATTACAGTGAAGAGAGAAGTGAGAATGAAAACAAGAGCCCGTGGGCAAAACAAGGGGGCTTTAATGATCAGAATTCCAAGTTCAGAAGGAGAGGTTCTTTTTATTTATTTATTTATTTATTTGAAAATTTTTATTACGAAGGCAGATTTACAAAGAGGAGAGATAGTGATAAGGATCTTCTGTCACTGGTTCACTCCCCAAATGGCTGTAACAGCTGGAGCTGAGATGATCTGAAATCAGGATCCAGGAGCCTCTTCTGGATCTCCCATGTGGGTGCAGGATCCCAAGTCTTTGGGCCATCCTCTACTGCTTTCCCAGGTCACAGGCAGGGAGCTGGGTAGGAAGCGGAGCAGCTGGGACATGAATCAGAAGCCATACAGGATCCCAGCACTTGCAAAGTGATTTAGCTGTTGAGTCATCACACCAGACTCAGGAGAGACTCTTGATTCATCTGTGAAAAGCAGACAGTTTGGCATGATAATGATAAGAGCAGCTGAAGGGGATAAGATTCTAAAATATTTGGGAGCACTTGTTATAAGAAGATGGTTATAATTAGATATAGAAACAAATGGAAAAGCATGGCTGTTTTAAGGGAAACATTTGGAGGGCCAGGGTATGGTGTCAGATTGCAGAGTTGGGAAAGGTGTTTGGCAGAAGCTGGGCTGCAAGCTGGGACAATGGGGTGGGTGGGGCACGGAGCAGCTGGGAGCCTGGAGGTGGCTCTCACCTGGGGCTGGAACCTGCAAGGATATGCAAATGTTGAGGCCACAAAAAAGCGGCGTGCTGCCCGTAGGGCCAGACTGTTCTCTGAGTCAGTGGAGGTGCCACTCAGGTGGGTTTGGAAAGACTTCTTCCTTGGAAACCTGACTCCGTAGTGAGTTTGCTCAGCAGACGCGCTGAGATTGCCCGAACTCAGCTGCCGAGCAGATGCTGGGATGTTTACTAGCTTCAAAGAGATCAGGACATTTGTGACTTTTTTTTTTTTTTCTGTAGTAAAACTAGCCCCAGCCAGCCGGACTGGGAATTTACTGCCTGAGCTGTTTTCCTGCAGGAGTTTTACTAGCAAAGCAGGAGTGTCTCCTGGACTGTCAAGGGGCCTTTTTACACTGACTTGATTTTTTATGATAGCTTTCAAGTGGGAAGAGGGAAATTACAGTTAAAGTTTGGGCAGGTGAGCCAAAGGAGCAATGCCCTGCCATTGCTGAGTGTGTGTGTGTGTGCACGCGCGCGTATGCGTGTGTATAATCATGCTACTGTGTGTGTAGTCATGCATATGAATGTGCCTTCTGTATGGGTGCATTAGCATGTGTGTGTATTAGTGCATGCACACCTCTATCTGTGTGGGCGTTTAAATGCTGGTTTGGCCTCATGTGCTCAACAAGAGCTGATCACTTGTTTGTAGGCATAATGAGGGTGGCAGGCCAGTTGTTTGGCAGGTCTCTGTTGGTTTATGTCTGTAGGATTTTTGTGGACAGGAGGGCAAGGGTGTTTACTATCAACAGGATTAGGACACTGAAGTATAAGCTCCAAGGTGCAGCTGGTCCCAGGATAAGAGCATAACCGTGGGGAAGCCAATGGCAGGGCATTTCGTGTAACTGGGAAGCACTGAGGTGAGAAGCACAACTTGGAAACTTGCCCTGTGAGTCAATTATCAGTCAGTAGAAAAGATTAAAGGCAGTGTAAAAGGAGGCCAGACTTGCATTCATCAACTCTCTTTCTCTTCAATCCTGCTTTTCTTTTCCGAATTTCCCAAAAAGTGGTATTTGGAGTTTCACGATTGGCAAAGGAGAACTTGATTGAAGAGTTGGAAGGGCAAGTCTCTGGTCTGTGTACACAAAGACGTTTAGCACCCAGAGACTGACATCCCTGGGAAAACTGCCCACAAGTGTTGCCATCCAAGGAGACAACAACAACAACAATAAAAACCAAGAAGCTGCTGCCTGACTCCAAATTGACTGCAAAGAAGCCATGAAGTCCCAGCCGGTGGGAAGCCTGGAAGATGCCCTGCTGAGTAAGGTAAGCACAGAGACTGAGCCCACCCCTCACCTCCACCCAACGCCCCTCACCTAGACCCAGAGGAACTTCCAGCTCAAGATAGTAGGGCACTCCCCAGGCACAGGAAGCAAAGCCAGTGCGCCTGGGACAGTGCTGGGGGACTTGGTGTGATTCAGCCTCTTTGGGTTTCTGGGGTCCCTGTTAAGTAGGGAACCTGGGCTGGAGCTCCAGCTCTGCCACTGATCCTTGTGTGACCATGTTTTAAGTCAAGTATAGCCTACTTGAGCCTCAGCTTTCCTTCGCAGAAAATGGGTGTGGCAGTAGGGTTTTCGAATGGGAATGCTGTAACTGAGCAAGTGAAATGAAGACAAAACTTTCTAAAGACTGTGAAACACCTAGGCTTTTAGAAGATTTCATTATATTTTTTATTTTCCAGTATGCACCAAGTCAGAGCTAGTTTAATTCTTCTGCAAAGAGTCAGAAGTTCTTAGAATATTAGATGAGAAGGGACATTAAGTACTACTATCTAATTTAAGCCCATCCACTTGTGGGGGAAGCCAAGCCAGGGTATTAATGTTTAAACCTGTGCTTTCAAACTGACTGAGAGGTAGGGTAATCTATGATTCTCATTCCTTTACAAGTAAACAAAGCCAAGATCATTATCTCAGGGATAAATAAAGCACCAAGCCATTAAGAGAGATAAACAAGGAAAGCCTGGGATGATAAGAATCAAGTGGTTTTTGGTTACTGTGAGTCCGCCTTTGGGGGCTGGAAGGATGATGTCTGAATGGAAAGGGTGCTTCCTGGCAGCTTTACTTAGATCCTGCACTTTCTGTATGAAAAAAAAAAATCCAAATATTTCAGCCTGATCTGGAAACAACATGCATTGCCCTTTCCTTCTGCCCTTGCATGTCCAATAGCAGAAATCCAGTGCTTCCCAGGGTGAATTCAGCCTGTGCACTTAAAAAAAAAGTATGTATTTATTTGAAAGTTAGAGTTAGCAGGAGACAGATTCTTTCTACTAGCTCACACTGGCTAAGCCTGGGCCAGGCTAAAGCCAGGAGCCAGGAGCCAGGAGCCAGGAGCTTCATCTGGGTTTTCCACAAACCCAGGGCACAAAGCACTGAGCCACCTTCTTCTGCTTTTCCCCCGACCATTAGCAGGGAGCTGACTCGAAAGTAGAGCAGCTGGGCCTTGAACTTGTGCCAGTGTTGCAGGCAGAGGCTTCACTTGCTGTGTCATGATGCTGTCCAACGGGCGTGTGTTTTGTTTGGGCTGCAGATTATACTTTAACATCTTCAAATGTGTGATAGACTTTGGGAATACTAAGATTTTTGTGTAGAAATCCAAAATCAGGACATCTGTTCATCACAAGCCCCAATTTCTTGACTGGAAGCCACAGATTGGGTCCGAGTGACTTTTCAAAATAACAACTGAGATATTGTTTTAAAATATCTGTTTATTTATTTAAAAGTCAGAGCTACAGAGGGAGAAGGGGAAAGACAGAGAGAGAGGGGCGATCTTTTGTTCTCTGATTTACTCCCCAGATGTTGGCAATAGCCAGGGGTGCACCAGGCTGAAGTCAGGAATTTCATTCTGGATCTCCCACATGGGGCACAGGGCTCAAAGGACTTGGGTCATCCCCCAGTGCTTTCCCAGGTGCATTGGCAGGGAGTGGCTAGGAAATGCGCTGGTGCCCATATGGGATGTCACTGCTGCAGGCAGCAACTTGCTACGCCGCAATGCCAGCCCCACTAAATGACTTTTGGAGCTCAGGCTCATCAGTTCTCAGGAGCACTGCAGTCCTGGCCTAACTCCTGCTCCTTCTTCCCTCCTTGCCCATTCCCCACCCCAGCTTCCCCCCAATGCCCCCATTTGTGTCCTGCCCCATAGAAGCTGCGTACTGAGCAATCCTCAGGTGTGAGGATTGCTTGCCCTTTTCTAGGTCGGTGGGGTGGGGGGGGTTCACATTCATGCTACAAAATCTGTTTCGAATCCACTTCCTCCAGAAAGATTTCCCTGACACAAGTGCAAGATGTTTTTGACCTTTAAGGAAACTGCCACTCCATCACCACAGATGCTGCCTATTTGGCAATTAATTTGATATTGATGCCTGATAACGATTCCCATAATTACTTTAATTGATGCCTTCAGTAGTGTTTGATTCCAATTTACTGGAGGGAAAAATAGAGTTGAGGATATCTTATCTTCCTCTGATACAGAGCAGCTCACATGTAGAGTCAGAAATATCGCTAAGGTTCATCGAAGATAAGGCAGGAGTAACAGAAAAGATGTTGAGGTACACACAGTATCTCATCGAATCCAGCCAGTAACCAGCTCATGGAGACTAGATACCTGATCCAAAGTCACACAGCTGGACAGTGAACACTTGGTCCAGGAGACACCTGGTCTCCTTTCAGTCTGGAAGCCTTGCTTCCTTTCCCAAGCCTTTTGTGTCCCTGTAGGCACACACAAAGCACCAGTCTGGCGCAAACCCTGTGCTAGGGCAGAAATGCAGCCTGATAAATGAGAGATTCCAAGTGAGTCCCACCTGTAAATTCTGTGCCAAAACCCCAATGGGAGAAGGAGGTAGTTCCCAGTGCAGACAGTGGGGGCCGCTCCAGAGCTGCCAGAGCAGCACAAGAGGGCCCAGAGGGGCAGGTGCTCTGAATGGAGGGTTGTTTTTCAGGAAGAGGGATGGACAAAGCCCTGGTGGGCGCCTAGGGTTTAACAAGCCTTCAGGAATCACAGGAAAGGTCAAGGCTATGGGAATGTCATCCCAGCGGTTGAGGAGATCTCATTCCCCATCGCTTTTGTACTTTTTTTTGGTTGGCTGGGAGGCAGAATGGGGCAGTAGTTATGACATGGGCTTTGGAATACATGGCCTAGTTAAGGAGTGCTGTTCTCTGGGACCCTGGGCAATGACCTCTGTCAAGTTTCCTCATCTGTCACATGGAGATAATCGACATGTACCATGGAGGATCACTGGGAGACAAGAGAGCCTTTCCTGACTAAGGGCATGCATACAGGAAGGCCCCAGTGACCTGGACTCCAGTGTGAGGCTGTTGCCTGTGCTGCCATGGTTCCAGCCAGTCTAAGCATCAGTTTCTTGGAAGATTTAGTGTGGTGGGGTTAGGGACACACTGCCAGAAAGCCTGCTGTCTTATCTGTAGGGACTCATGCATTTAAGTCTCCATCCTTTACATTGCCAGCCCCTGGGGGATAAAAAGTAACTTCCCCCCACCTGCCAGCCCACGATTGGATTGAAGGGCATCAAAGGTCTGACTTCCCTGTTCCTAGAAGGAAATTCTCAGCCTTGCTCCCAGGGCACTCATCATCATTGAATTCTCACAGATCACCTGCCCATGAGTGTGACTGGACCCCATGTGACATTTCCAGCAAGTTACTTATCACTGCTCTGTCATGTCTTTCAAGAAAGCATGATGTAAAGCAAGTGAGTCAGAGTGATGTGATTACAAAGAACAGCCTTGAATTCGCAAGCATTTGTATTTGAAACAGTGAAGTCACTACTGACCTGGAGTACAACCCTGGCCAGATTCTGAGACTGGAGAGGAGGATAGGAAGGTGGCTCAGGAAGGATGTGGCCAGGCCACATGGATGGCCCTGGAGCAGAACCTTGCCAAGGTCAATGCAGTAGAGGTGTTGAACACGCAGATCTAATATCTAAGCTTCATGTGCCTGACTGCTTCAGCACAATTCATGTCTTCTTCTATTCAGATGGATCTAGAAATAGTCTTTGAAAAACACCTTTGTTCAGTGATCACAAGAAGGAGGGGGTGAAACTTGAATAGGCACCACAGGTCAAGTTTGCCTTGACTGTGCTTTGATTCAATATTCTCAAATGATCACCTTTACACCCTACATTTGTTTCAAAGATTTACCTGGAAACAAATTGGTGACAAGGCTGGTGGGGGGGGGCACTTAGCTCGCTTCCTGAGTTCAAGAGGCAGTGAAGGCAAGCTGTCTGGGCTTGTGCCAGGGCTCTGCTTACACTAGAGTGCCCCCTTTTATCCAGATCCCAGGAAAGCTGTAAGGCTCCATGCAACTGTCTCGGGCCCTGACCTGGCTTCTCCCCGACCCTCGGGTGGACTTCTCTTGCTGTATCCCTTCAGGCTTGTGGCCAGGAGAAGTGGTGGGGGGAAAGAGTGCCAGTGCTGGGTTGGGTTTACACCATGAACTTAAGAGCTACCAGGAATGGAGCCTGGAAACCCCCTACCTACACTGCTTCCGGAGCTGCTGAGCCCTTAGAGGTCAGCACCTGCCAGGTAAGGAGAGCCAGGGAGCTGTCCCTCCTCCGACCACCAAGAGGCCGCCGACTCCACTCCCAAGGCTCGAGCACTGTGGGCACAGGTTTGTCCTAGGCACGACTGTCTCTCCCCAGAGCTTGGGGTCAAGCCTGGCTTCACTGACCCCTGCTACCTTACAGAACAGTCAGTGACCATTGATGACATTAAACTTGTTCTTTTGTGAGCTTTCCCTCCAAACTGAGAGGGTTTTTATGTCACTGACCAAAGAGGTGAAAATTTCTTGTGTCGCTTCTGTTCTTGAGGGTGTGGCGCAATGTGATGGAAAGAGAAGTTGAGCAACCCAGGCATTCCATTTAATTTTACCTTTTTTTTAAAAAAAAAAAGAATTATTTTATTTTTTATTAGAAAGTCAGATACACAGAGAGGAGGTGAGACAGAGAGGAAGATCCTCCATCTGATTATTCACTCCCCAAGTGGATGCAATGGCTGGAACTGAACCAATCCAAAGCCAGGAGCCTCTTCTGTGTCTCCCACGCAGAAACAGGCTCCCAAGTCTTTGGGCCATCATTGACTGCTTTCCCAGGCCACAGGCAGGGAGCTGGATGGGAAGCAGGGCCACTGGGACACAAATTGGCGCCCAGATAAGATCCCAGCACATTCAAAGAAAGGACTTTATCTGCTAAACTGCTGAGCTGGGCCCTAATTTTACTTCTAACTGCTGGTGTGACAGTAACAGGGCCAGCTCAGTGCTCTGGGATTCTGCAAAGTGACGCTGGATATGTTGATTTCAGAGATTTCTTCCAGCTCTATCCCCTAGGTTTCTAAATGTCATCAAAAGGGATGAAAGCAAAAAATCGTATCTGGAATATGTGGCTCTATGTTCCAAAAAAACATTTCCTTACCCTGACTTTCACCTTTGAAAATCCAAGCAGGTCATAAAGATGAGCCGATGATCTTGTGTAATGATGGAAAATTGCAGGTGTCTTGCAGGATGTGTATGAGCTTGTTCTTCCCATGGAGGAAATCCCATCATCAAAAGACAGCACAGTGTGCATAGACATTTACAGTGAAGCACTTTCCATCACACTGCTTAGGCATGGGTATCATGTCTTCTACCTCGCTCTTTCCTTCAACCTTTTATTAGTTAAAACTGATGCTGTCAGTAGAGTGATGCCTCTTTGTTAACCTAGGAAATATCCCATAATCATCAGCAGAGCTCTATGAAATCACTCAAGTGGATTTGGAAGACTGGGGGAGTTAGTACTGATCCTCAACACATTTTGAGAAGCTAACCACTAGAGAATACTTTTCTGTAACCATTGTAACTGCATCATCTTGTATCATGTATGACTATCTGGCATTACACCTTCTCACCTTACCTGATCATACTGTCAGTCCTTGAACTGGCTCCATGTTCGCTGACTTAACCAAACTGGCCTAATGCATTCCCCATGTAACTGGAAGCTTACCACGTCCCCCTTGCTCTGGAATCTCTCTCCTACTCCTGCCTAGCGAAATGTAGTCTTGGCACCTTCCCCCTTACATTTGGAGGGCTGAAGGATACAGGAGAACATCTTACAGCTGAGCCCACTGATGGTCATTGCTCACAGACTTACCCACAGCAGAGTCATGGTCCTGCCTGCTCAATTGCACAGATGTGCCTAAACAGTCCCACATTCCTTAGGAAGCTATTTCAGCAGGCTGCCACCTCCCTTCCAGCTCTCCACCTCATGTTCAGCCCCGTACCCTGCATGCTACCCCAGACACCACATCAGGGACCAGACAGGAAGTTCTCTGATTCCCACCATTCCCTGCCTGTTTCCCTGCATCTGTGCTTTTTCACCTTCCTTTCCTGTGACACGCCAACATGAGCTCTTCACTCAGGTTTCAGGATTTGCATAACTGCTTCTGTCTGGAAAATTCTTGCTCAATAGTTTTGCTCTTTGCAGTCACTTCCTTGTCTGAGGACTCTTTTCTCTCAGCATTTGAGCTTGTTCAAACCCATGTGTCACTGTGAAAAGCCTGTTGGTATGCTGCTGTTTTCTTCCATTGCATTTGATTCCACAGTCAAGCTTTCAGCAAGAGTTGCCCATCTCTGTCTTCACCTGCTTGTCTCCAGTTTACTCTGAACCCACCATCTGCTCCCCCTGCTCCCTTCTCCCCCATCACACCAATCCTGTTCCAGGCTCCAAACTCTATATGCAAGAGTGAAGCATTTTTGAAATTCATCTTCTTGTCTTTTCAAGACCTCTTGCTGTCTATCCTCACAGCTCACTGCCCTCCTGCAAGGCCATCTCTGCTCCAGCAACTGTACTAGGATCATTAGAGCTGTCTCCTGTGCCCTTCATGCTGCTGTTTTTCTTTCCAGGACCATGTTCATGCCTTGTGTCCCTAACCAACTCCCACCAGTCCTTCCAGATACAACTCTAATATACTCTGCCTCCAGGAAGGCCCCTCCATCTCCAACCCAACATCCTGTGCAGATGAAGAGCTAGCACTGGATTACAGAGGGTTCAGTTTCCATTTCTTTTATCTGTCTTTCCATTGGTAAAGTTCTTGACAGCATGCATGCTCAGAGCTCAACACCAAGAAGATCTTCAACAAACACTGGGCAAGTGTCCTGGAATCACAGCACATGGAGGAGTTCCCACACTGGGAAGGACCCTTAAGCATAAGCATTTAAGAGGTTCTTCCTTTTGGGCACAGGAAACATCCTTTCCTTCTGTGATCACCTTTCCTCTCCCACTTGTACAGTCTGGAAGATGCAGCCTCTCCAGAGGTTAACAACGTTCAAGGAGAGGTCCTTTCATCTCTTTGTCTGTTATGAGCCTAGTGGGATGGACATGAAGGTGTGGAGAGGGGTGGATGGGTGTCTGCTGGTGGCTAAAAGAAGGTGCTAGGAACTAGAACAGACTCAAGTCCCATGTTCAAGTGAGGCAAGGAATTTCGTGTGTATCATGAAGAGGCTGTGAGCTTGTCAGAACCAAGGGCCTCACCGTGGGGTTTGCATTACTCATTGCAGTGTTAGGCATCTGTGACGCATCAGTGTGATTTTCATACACAGTTCCCCATGTGTGGATGCACGTAAAGTATCAGTCATCTCTGTTGCACTTGGTGGCACCCTACCCAGCCCCATGATGCCTGCACCATCTGTTTGTCTTCCCCACTCTGTAAGTGTATGACTACATTACAATGTTAATGTCCAGCATATGTAACAGGGGCCACATGAACATTTCTTTGTGAGATGACTCTGTGAATGACATATAACATGAGTATGAGCAGATACACACTCATTCCAAATCCACATGAAGTTGATTTGCTGGTGGATGGGTGACTTGAGACCCCAGAGGCCTGACTAGTTGATGACTTACTATAGGAAAACAGAAGATCTCTGTCACTTGGGCTTTTTTAATGACTGTCTTGGCCACTTGATGAGCATCTCAGACCTGCACTTGCTTATGTAGAAATAGCCATTATGCCAGATTCAGAAGGAACAGAAAGATTCATAGAAAAGCACTGTAATGAAGAGCCTCTTCAATCTTGGAAGAAACTTCCTGATCCTTCCCAAATCTTCTTTCATTTGGACTTCTCTGTCCCTCTTAGAGTTTACAAAATACTTCTTTGTGTTTCCAACAAGCATCTATTTCCCTAAACTCTAGGTATCTTATTGATGTTCCATTTTCTTTGGGAACTTCCCAGTTCTCAGTGATTCACTGTATAGAGTTGTAAAAAACACAAGTGTGTGGCTTTTCTTAAGCTTCTAGTAGCAAAACGTGAGGGTGAGTACAGAGGCACACAGAACCATCATTCCTTGACAACACACGTGGGAAACAAGCTGCTGGGTGTTCATGCACATGAAGTTGTGGCTCACCAGCCCAACGAGAGGTGTGCTATACCATTCTACAACATCACAGCAGTCACAAATCCCTTTGTGATGCTCTGGCCCTTAGTCTCCATTCCACATACACCTCCACCACTTGCCATTTCCTTTTCCAAACTCTCACGAGGGCAACCTCCTCGCTGGCTCTTGAACTTCACCAAGGATGCAGCTGCTTGAGAAGCCTTGGAATCCGCTTTCTCAAGTTGTCTGCCTGGCTCATTCAGATTTCAGCTCCTTGGGGAAGCCTTTCCTGACCCAGTGTGGAATCTCCTCCATGTGCTGTGATTCCAGGACACTTGCCCAGTGTTTGTTGAAGATCTTGGTGTTGAGCTCTGAGCATGCATGCTGTCAAGAACTTTACCAATGGAAAGACAGATAAAAGAAATGGAAACTGAACCCTCTGTAATCCAGTGCTAGCTCTTCATCTGCACAGGATGTTGGGTTGGAGATGGAGGGGCCTTCCTGGAGGCAGAGTATATTAGAGTTGTATCTGGAAGGACTGGTGGGAGTTGGTTAGGGACACAAGGCATGAACATGGTCCTGGAAAGAAAAACAGCAGCATAAAGGGCACAGGAGACAGCTCTAATGGCCCTTTTCTGAAAGTTCCCTCATTGACTAGTCTTATCCTGCAAGCTGTGTATGCAAGTGTGTGCACATATGTACAGTGTAATATCAGGTGTATTTCCAACTAGAGCAAGAATCTCTATCTTGTTTGCTGTTGCTTTGATCACGAGGTTTTCTAGCACCTGGCCTCTCGCCTGCCTTCAGTAGGAACTAGAGACACTCTGATCATCCAGGGCATCCATTTCAGCAGAGAACGCTGAGCACCGACAAGTGTGTCGACAGGTCACAGTCAGATACATCTAGCTCCCCTGGAGTCCTTGGGGGAAAATAAGAGTTTGAGCTGAACTGCTACGGTCGCCTAGTGCTGTGCTCTGGTCTTGTCATTTCCTGTGCCAGTGTCTCACCTTTGCTGATCCCTTCACATCCAGGTAGACTTGAGGCACCAGCAAATTTCCCAAACTGTGGATGAGGTGCAGAGAGTTGTCCATCGTTTGACTACAGAAATCAGCCACCAGGATGTTCGATTTCAAGCTGTGCCTTACTCTGATACATACAATGTGAACATTAAGGTAAGCCAGCCTCACTGCCCCCCGATGCCTACTGACGGAGCAAGGATGTGGGGTAGCTGGGGTTCAGTGTGTGGCAGATGCTCACCCGTTTTCCCCTCCATTTTATTCACTCCAGAAGTTTCACCCAATTCTGATCCTTTACTTTTGACTGAGAACTAGCCAGCATAGCAAAAACAAACAAAAATATTGAATGAATGGTAACAAAAGACCCAAGTTCAAATTCTGGCTCCTTCTTATTGACCATGTGTCCTGGGGCCATCATAGCCCACCTCATAGCATAATCATACCAAGGGATTACAGGGGCTATGAATTACCGTGCTCACTAAATGCTGGCTCCTCCTGCTCCCATTTCTTCTCCCCTAAACTTGAGATCCCTCCTCAAGTTCAGTCTTTGTACTTGTGATTCATGAAACCAAAATCCTAGTGAGTTCATTTTCTTGCCCTGAGTGTCATAATGGGTTAGTGGTAGAACAAAGAAATGATCCCTGTTGCAACACCCACAAGTGTCTTGCATTTCATCCACCTCATCACAAGACTGAGGGGTGAGTGGGTTGTGAGCCGCCTGGCTCCGTGGGCCAACTCCCCAAGACCCGCTGCTCGCTTCAAGCCTCTGAACTCAAAGCCCGTTTTCTCTCCTGACCCTAGGTCTTGGCCCCCAGCCAGTTCCTCATCACAGTCCCTCTGAGGGGCCTGGCCGGGTACAGGGAGGTCAGGGAGCAGCGCTGGCGCTACTACACCTTACAGGGCACCAGGCTCCCCTGTCCCCTGCGGGACCCCGAGGGCTTGCAGCAGTGGCTGGCGACAGAGCAGTTTACGAAGAGCATGTGGCAATGGCATGAGACCGATGTGAACATTGAGGGAGACATAGTGCCCGCCAAGGTTCTCCAGGTGTTCCGGAAGCTGGTGGACAATGCAATCAGAACCTGTCACCTCTCAGGTGAGCTTAGCAGAGGCATGTCCAAGGCACATGGCTGACATTTTCCTTTTGTTATATGAAAATCCTGTCTGTGCGATACCTGAGGCTGCTGTCATGTGCTTGCTGCAAAGTTTCATCCCCATCTTTTCGTCTGTTTTGTTCTGTGCTGTGTTGTGACACATGAAAGAGTAGAATCCATGCTCACAGAACACTCCCGAGGGACTTCAGCAGATTACAGCCCTGGCCCAGCTGTGACAGGCTACGGGCTATGCATGCTCTCCAGCACACTGGCTTCAAAGCTGAGGCATACTTTTAAAACATGTCTTTATTTGAAAGGCAGATTTTACAGAGAAAGAAGGAAAGATAGAGAAGTCTTCCATATCTGCTCACTAACTCCCCAAATGGCTGCAACAGCCAGAGCTGAGCTGAGCTGAAGCTGAGAGCCAGCAGCTTCTTCTGGGTCTCCCAGATGAGTGCAGAGTCTCAAGGCTTTAGACAATTTATTTGCTGATTTCCCAGGCCATAGGAGAGAGCTGGATTGGAAGTGGAGCAGCTGGGACATGAACCAGTGCCCATATGGGATGACAGCACTACAGAGTGAAGGATTATCATGTAATGTTAGTACTTGTGGCAATTCCAGTTCTAGAAAGAATCTTGGTGGTTTACAAAGCAAACTTGGCTAAGCAAATTTTGTGGCTTCAGTTTAGTAGATTACAAAATAGACTTTAAAAACAGAGAGGAATACACATGCGTCACACACACATATGAAAAAATGCACCTGCTTCATAACAAGATAAAAAACAGTTCTACTGTCTAGTGTCCAGCTCTGTATTGAATGGAAAGGATGTTTTTATATGTATGTGTCTAACTTGAATGGTTCTACAAATTTCCATAATGGTAATCTTTCATGTTTAAGGGATTTTTACATAGAGAGTGCTTTCACTGATAGTTTAATTTGCTCATTCTAGCAACTCAAGAGTAAGGATTCTTTTCTTCCTATTTTATAGATTAAAAAACTGAGACTTAGATTTTGTGGTTTGCCAAAGACCACGTGTTTAGTAACCGAGCTGCAGAGGCAGGACGTGGGCCAGGCCAGGTGTGGGCCAGGCAGGCAGGCTCCTACGTTTGCTTGCCTCATGCACTTGGTGACATTACCACCAGTGAAAGTGCAACTGTGAGGTCTAAACTGGGCCAGCTTGGCAAGGTGCTTAGGCAGGTGATGCTTATGTGCCAGGCAGTGTCCCGGGCCTGTCTGGACAGCTTGGAGGAGGTGTAGACAACAGCCCTTTGTCTCACCCCAGCCCTTCAGAGCCATGTGTGCCTTTGGGGCAGCCCAACGCAATGAAGGAGCCTTCATTTCTTTCTCTGAGTGAGGGGAAGCCGCATAACTAATGTCAAATGTATCTGAATGGAAGGTAAACTAACCAAAACAACTCCACCATTTGAAAGGAGAAGAAATGCAAGAGGTGGACATGCTAGTGCGGGAACAGGGAGGCCTTTCCACACATGCTGATTTTCTCTTGCTTGGAAAACAAGGCAGGGCGGGGCTTCCTGGCATTCCCGCAACCCTTCAGCGGCTGGCTGTGACATGCCTTGAAGCGTTTGGTGATTACAGGGGCCTATGATGATAAATACCTCCCAGGCAAGGATGGCTTAGTGGATGATGGAAACAAATACCATGTGTCTAAGGGACTTGGGGTTGGATAAGAAAAACAGGTTAGCCAAGTTCTACCAAGGGCATATGAGTACTAAGGGGTAGGAGGCTGTCCTTGATGTCGGGAGACACAGATGAAGACACATAAGCAGCGTTGACCTCCCCTATTGCTCACTGCTCTGAAAACCAACATCTGGGTGCATAACAGGTACAAGGGAGAAGACTCTAGAATGGTTAGAGTTTGTTTCACAGAAGCAAAACCTGTGCGTTTTATCATATAACTCTTGCCTTTCTGGAAATAATTGATAGAAAAGAAAGATTTAAAAGCCTAGTGGGGAAGGCAAGGATGAGAGAGGGAAAACTCACCAATAATAAGGTTTCAGGGTGTTTCAGCAGTGAGTAGCTGCCAGGTGTTGGTTTGAGTGCCTGCCCTTGCTGCCCCAAAGGCAAGGGACTGGTCAGAGCCACAGCTCACCCACCCCTCCTCTGAATGCTGTGTGCACCAAGACTGTTTTTTCTCACTGTCAGTTTGGTTATCATCCATTAGGGAAGGTCAGCCTGTTGGCCAACCGCTCTGCAGTCTGGGTTGCTGTGGAAACATCAACGTGTCAAGTGGAACTAGAGCTGGTCCCCATGGTGGAGATCTCCAACACCTGGTCCGAGAAAGCACAGTGGCCTCCATGTCTGAAACGCTGGCCTAACCCAAAGAAGGTGGAATGCATTAAGGTAGGACTGGCTGGGACCCAGTCCATCAGAGCAGAGACCCACCAGCTGCCCAGTCCCAGGACTCCTGGTGTCAACACCTCCATACTTCTCCAAGCTTGGGTCCTAGACACTTGCTAGAAATGCAGAGTCCAGGACCCCATGCTGCACCTGCTGAATGAGGCTCCACATGAGGCACAGCTCTCTGTGCTTTGTTGGTCTGGGCAAAGATTCCGCTGGATGCTCAAGGTGGTCTGTTGCAGAAGAGAAGTAAGACAGAGCCACCTTTTGCTAACTGGCCACATCCAGGCTGGTTTGTGTCTTCCTCATGGTGGGTCATCTTGGCTTTGTGTAGGAGGAACCACCTATCTTAGATTCTTAGACAAGAGGCCTACTTCTGGAATGGCTTTCTAAGTCAGGAAGCCTGATTTCTCATTTCTCCCCTGCGGGTCTCTCTCTCCAGTCTTTTGGGTTCAACTTGTTGGCTAGCTCTAGCTATCACTGGCAGCTGGGCTTCCAGCAGGCTGAGCGGGTGCTGCTGCAGCAATTGGACGAGGATGGAGGCTGCCGCCGGAGGTGCCTGCAGGTCATGCGACAGCTGAAGGAGGACGTCTGGTGTCCTGGGAAGAGGCCGGTTCTCACGTCCTACCACCTGCAGGTGAGTGCAAGGCCTGGGAGAGGTGTCCCCCCGTAGCCACACCACTGGGTGTGTGTGTGGTGATCAATGGGGTTGGGGCATCCTTATATGTGTCCCACAACTTCTGACTCACTGGGGCAATGCATGGATCCAGGCCACTTGTGTGTCCACCACACTGCTCAGGGAGACACAGCCTCTGCCTCCCTCCCTTCCATTTTCTGTCCCTCTTTTCTCTCCTTCCTTCTCACCTTGAGACTGACATCCTCCCCTTCTTTTTTTCTGTTTGAGATCAGTAATAATTTCATAATTTAAGTTAGTATGTCCTTGTATCTGTTTATGGGATATGGTATGCTCATTTGACTCCTATCTATGGCATGTAATAATCAAGCTAAGTCATGAGCATTCCCTTCTCAAACATGAATCTTCCTCCATGTTGGAGCTTTGGCTGTTTTAAAGAAAAGAGCCAGTTGTTGTAAAGCTGCGGTCACCCTCCTGGCCCATTGCATCCTAGAACTGACTCTTCTGCCTCACTAGGGTTGTGTATGTGTTATCCTGCTTGCCCTCCACCCTTTCTAGTCCCTAGACACCACTATCCTACTCTACTTCTGGAAATTGACTTTCAAGTCTTCATGCATGAGAAGATGTGTGGTGTCTGACCTTCTGTGCCTGGCTCATGCCATTGAACATGGCATCTTCTGGTTCCTACCACACAGGACAAAATTAAATGTGTCTTTGTAGGTGAGCAAAGTCCATTCTGTACACACCAGGCCTTCTGCATCCATTCACCTGTCGGTGGCTGCCTTGGCCATCTTCTACTGAGCAATCATGCGGGGAACCTGGAAGTGCAGGGATTTCTTGTGTATGTGGTTCTCATTTCTTTTGCATATTCCCAGTAGAGGAAGTCTGCTTTGTGTACTCCTACAAATTTTAAAGATTTTTTTAAAATTCTTATTGGAAAGGCAGATTTACAGAAAGAAGGAGAAACAGAAAGATGTCCCGTGCACTGGTTCATTCCCCAAGTGGCCGCAAAAACTGGAGCAGAACTGATCCAAAACCAGGAGGCAGGAGCTTCTTCCAGGTCTCCCATGAGAGTGCAGGGTCCCAGGGTTTTGGGCCATCCTTCACTGTTTTCCTAGACCATAAGCAGGGAGCTAGATGGGAAGTGGAGCAGCCAGGATACAGATTGGCACCCATATGAGATGCTGGCACTGTGAGGATTAGTCAGTTGAATTTTTGTACCAGCCCAAGTTTCCATTTTTTTCCCAGTAACCTTTACATTCTTCTCCATACTGGTTGCATCCCCAGCAGCAGCAGTGTACCTCTGAGTTCCCCTGTGTCCACATCTTTGCCAGCATTTATCTCTTATCTTTTTGATGATATCCATTCAAGATGACATTTCATTGTGCTTTCTTTATGAAAAAATTCAAATCTATCTCATGAAAGACAGACACCTACTGCTTTATTCCCCGCATTTCTGCAACTGCCAGAGGGTGTTGAATCTGGGAGTTGGAAACGGCTGGGTAGTCAGGACTCAATTCCTGGAGTTGTTACTGTTGCCTCCCAGGGTCTGTGTGAGAAGGAAGCCGTGCAGGTGTTACACTCAGGCACACGTGACTGTGCACAGCCCAGTGGGCAGCGGCTGCAGCACGGGCCGGGCCTCATGGTGGCTGTGCATACCCCAGTGGACAGCAGCTGCAGCACGGGCTGGGCCGCATGGCGGCTGTACACAGCCCAGTGGGCAGCAGCTGCAGCACGGGCCGCATGGTGACTGCCTTATTGTGGTTCTGATCCACATTTCCCAATGAGTAGTGATGCTGAGCCTTTTCCATCTGCCTGTTGACCATCTGTATGTTATATTTTGAGAAATGCCTGTTCATATGCTTTGCTCTTTTAAGATCACATTATTTAGGGATTTTACTGTTTTTTTTTTTCACTGTTGAGTTCCTTAAGCACTCTGAACATAATTTATTGTCAGATGAGCAGTTTGTAAATATTTTCTCCCATTTTGTAATGGGTGTTGGTGGCTCCCTGTGTGGTGTGCTTACTTCAATTGATAGAAAGCCATCCATCTACTCTTACTTGTGCTTTTGGGATCCCATCTGAAAAGTCACTGTGTGTGCCAGTGTCCTGAAGAGTTTCTCCTATACTTTCTCCTGACAGTTCCTGGTCTTATATTTCTATCTTTGGTCCATTTTGAGTTAATTTTTATAATTAATTAGGGCTGGGGATCTAATTCTATTCTTCAAAAGATGAATATCCAGTTTTCCTAGCATCATTTGTAAAAGGGAATGTCCTCTCTTCAAAGTATGTTTTTGGTATTTTTGGTGAGAGGAACTAAACCGTATGGACCAAGTCATGTGAAGGAGCCTAGTAGTAAAGTTTTGCAGTATTTTGGACCAAAGAAAATGTAGGATTCGATTTTAGCGGGATCATGTTGACTGAACACCAGAAGGTGACAGGCGAGGTGGCAACAGGAATAGGTACAGACTGGCTGGACAGCGACTGTAGAGGTCTGGGCAAAACTCTGTTGTCATGGAATAGGGTGGGGACATTGGAGATGCAGGTAAGTGGTTGTCCTTGGGAAATGTAGGCAGGAGGAGTTGCAGGACCTGCTGGGGTGGTGAGAAGAAGGATGACTTCTGGGTCTGTGTCTTGCCTAACTGGCTGGATAAGAAGAAAGATCAGAGTTCCCTGTGGACATGCTGAGGCTGAGATGTTCAGCAGATACAAAGTAAGGAGGTCAGAGGCCAAGTCTGAGCTGGCGGAAGCACGTGCCCATCCCCATGCTTTGGAGGGAATTGGGATCTTTGTTGTAGGAACACAGAGCTGCGGGGGAATGTAGGGAAGGAGACGGACAGGGTCTGCACTTGCACCTGCAGAGATGCCCGCACCTGGAGGCAGGTGGAGGAGAGCTCCTGGAGGAGGCCCCGCGTGGGTTGAATCCCTGGGAGCCAGTCCACAAAGGCTCAGGAGGGAAGATGTGGGTGAGAGAACCTGAGAGGCAGAAAGTGAGCCGAGTGAAAGCTGGCAAGGGAACAGTGAGGGCTGAGAAACTGGGGGGTCTGAGATGGAGGGAGCAGGCTTGAGGAGTAGCAGCAGGCAAGTCTGTGTCAAAGAGGATCAAGGTGGGACGAGCTGGAGAGGAAGTGATGCTGGTGGAGCCGACTCCTTGGGAAGCGTGGGTTTTTAGGGAGGCAAAGGACTGGGAGAGCAGAGGTTTCTTGAGTTAGTTGAATGGCACAGGGACAAGCAGTCTTTTAGTTTCTGCAGAGTGGGAACCTGAAGAGGGAGTTGGGGATGGGGGCACGGCTGGGATCAGCCTCGGCCAGGAGGAGGGACAGGTGCTCTCTGCAGAGCCTACCAAGGTAGGTGGGGTGGTATAACTTGGGAGGGTGCCAGCTTCCACTTTCCCGCAGCAACTTCTGGGAGTGGGGCATTGCAGGTGGAAGGAACGAAGAGTGCTGGTGCTTGGGACATCAGGAGGCTGGAGAGGCGTGGGAGAAAGGCGAGGTAGGACTGAGGATTGATCTGAGGTCAGGGACAGTGAACTCAGGGCAGGTGCACCAGACACAGGTAGCCCTGCCCAGTCCCTGCTCCCAGCCGTATAAGCTAGGTGACTGTTCCCAGGGCTCCTCCCACCCTGGCTTGTGGCTGACAACATCTCTCCCTCCCACAGACGGTGCTCTTCTGGACTTGCGAGAAGTACCCCCACCCCAAGGACTGGCAGGTGTTGAGCACTGGGCTCCTGCGCCTGGTGAGAAAGCTGCACAAGTGTGTGAGCCAGCGCTTCCTGAAACACTACTTCGTCCGCAAAAGCAACCTTCTCCGGAGCGCGAATGCCAGCCAGCTGGACCTCGTAGCCCAGAAGCTGGCCTTCTTCCTCAAGAACCCGCAGGTCAGCCTGCCCTGAGCTTTGCCTGTCTGCAAGGCCTTGCACGATTCCCTCCAGCTTGACCTCATTCTCGGGGCAGATCCTCACTCAGGAGCCAGCCTCCTGTCCCCCAGGAGAGGAAGTGATGCCCACCCAACAGCACATAATATGGGCAGAAGAGGTGGTCCCAGGTTTCCCTGGGACCAAGCAAGCATTTCAGGCCCGGCTTTCCTCTGCTGGGGATGGCTCGTGGCCAGCATAAATCAGAGAGGAAAAGTGCCTGCTGCTGGGGCCACAGCCTTCCGAGGGTCAGGGATGGAATGAACTTGGTACCATGATCTGCAATGGAATGCCTTCGCTCACTCGCCTCCCTGTGTATCCTGAACGTGCGTCATTCACTCACCCAGCACAGGGAGGGCAGCATGGGGCAAGATGGCCGAGATGATGGCCGAGATGATGGCTGAGGACTGGCCTGAGGGGGACAGCGGCACCTGGTGGTGGGCATGCGCAGTGAGCCATGCATCCCTACACACAGTGGTTACTAGGGAGGTTGGTGCACCCAGGGGCAATAAACCAGCCCTTCAGGGAGAAGATGCACACAGCCGAAGGGAAGGGCAAGGGCAGGCCCGGATGAACTGCAAGGCTAGAACACTTGGCCTTGTAAAGCAGGCTGTGAAGCTGCAGTAAAACCTGAGAGCAGACGTGTGCCTCCCTGGAGCTGAGGGGCACGGCCATGACAGCTTCCTAAAGGATTGTTCTGCTAACTGCATGAGGAGAGGTGGTTGGAGGGGGAACCCAAGCAGGGGAAGGGGCACCGAAGGCCCTCCGCCCCCTGCTTGTTTTGATGCATACAAAGATGTGCCCTACACAGCCACACAGCCAGGAGGAGCCCCAGGAGCTCTTGGCCCAAGCCCCTCCTGCCATTCACTTAATGCTTCTCAAGCATTTTCCTCATTAACATACCAGTCACAAACTGAGCGTGTGAGCCACTGATTTTGTTCTAATAAAGATTCATGTTTGAGGATGAATGTCATTGTGTTTCAAATGTGCTGTAACCTGATGGTGAGGTCCCTGGGCTATCCTAGAGGAAATCACAGTTTAGGATGTTGAGAAAACATCTTTCAAAACACACAGTGAATCTTCAGGTTTCAAACATGTGGAATGAATTCGTGTTTTGCTAAATCATCATCTCAGACTTGAGAAACATCATTTGTGAGAACAAAATATCACAAAAGTGAGCTTTAGCTGTGCCACTGGTCCACCAGGTGTGCGTGTCTGCGGGGGGATGTCCAGGCTCCTAACTCCTGTGGATTCTAACCTGTTCCCCAGGAGACCCGTGGGTTTTGGACGGCATCCATCATCCTGGGATTCCTAATCGTTACCACTACTGACCGGCAGAGGGCAGCAGGGGACCACATATGAAAACAGCAAGCGCCCTTCCCCATCCGGCACATTCCCAGAGCCCAGCAGGTGGCGCACGTCTGGCTGGGCCCGTGCAGACCGCTCCAAGAGGACCAAGGGCCCTGGATTTTCCTTGATGCTACCTTATTGACCTTCCCCACCTCATTAGCCACAAGATTCCAGGCTTCCTGCTTACCGCTCAGTTGTTAAAAGGGTCCATGGCAGATGCTGGAACATACAGCTCGGTTTCTGGGGCGATTACATAGCTCATGAGGGGTGGAATTCTGTCCCTTCTTACTGTTAAATTCCCTAGAGATCTTTCCAAGCCCCCTTCACTCTTCCGGGTGATGGTATGTTGGGTTGCCAGTCACCAAAATTGACTCGTATTTCCCATCAGCTTTGATTCTGATTTCTCTGAGTTTCCAGAACATTCTCCCAAATGGGCATCACCTGACCTGCACTGTGCACTCCTCATTCATATATTGAAGCCCTGGCCCCAGCACCTCCAAGTGAGGTGTATTTACAGATGTGATTGAATTAAAATGAGACTTTGTGTGGTCCTCCTCTAAGCTCGATGGTGTTCTTATGAACCAGAGGTAGGAGGATGGGCACCTGAGAGGCCTCGGGGCTGCAGGTGTCCAGGGCGATGACTGCATGAAGGAGGCAGAGAGCGGGCAGCCTCTACAGGCTGAGGGGAGACCTCCGCGGAAGTCACACCTGTCAGCACCTCACTCTTGGCCTTCCCAGACCTGTGAGACAAGAACCTCACACTGCTGGACTCAGTGATGTGGGGCGCTTGTTAGGGCAGCTCTGAGAAACGACATGCATCATTTTGACGAGCAGAATCGGTAGAACACGGTGTGTGAAAAGCCTTCAGTTCAGGGCCTGGCACAGTGGCACAGTGGTTAAGGTCCTCGCCTTGCACGCCCGGGATCCCATATGGGCGTCGGTTCTAATCCCAGGATCGGCTGTTGCCCTCACTTGGGGAGTGAATCATCGGACGGAAGATCTTCTTCTCTGTCTCTCCTCCTCTCTGTATATCCGCCTTTCCAATAAATATATATATATATATATCTTTAAAAAAAAAAAAAGCCCTCGGTTCAGGACCCAAGAGAGGGCAGCTGGCACACACTGGTTATTTCAGATGCCACGCTCTGCAGGCTCCCTTGCCAGCCGCTGCCACTTCTCATCTCATCATTCCAGACAGAAATTCTTCCAACAGAAAACAGGGATCTTCCAAAGAAAGGCCTACAGACAACCCCATTGCTGAGTCCATCCATGTATTTCCCTTTGTGCTTCTTTCCAAAAATATTCCATTTTGTTGGTTTTTTAAAGTTGATTTTTATTTGTTTGAAAGGCAGAGAGAGAGAGAGAGATCCTTCATTCACTGGTTCACTCCCCAGATGCCTGCAAAGAGCTGGGGCTGGATGAATTTGAAACCCAGGAGCCAGGGGAAGCTTCTCTGTGTCTCCCATATGGATGACAAGAACTCAAGTACTCAACCATCACCTGTTGTTTCCCGGGATGCATTCGAAGGAAGCTGGATTGAAAGAGTGGGCAGGACTTGATCCCAGGCCCTCCCCCCAAATAAGAGCTGTAGGTGTCCCAGGTGGAGGCTTGACCCCCTGCCCTACAAGGGCCAACCCCTGTCCACGAGGCACGGCTCTGATTCCTCCCAGCTTTTCCATCTTTCCAGACACTCCCCCTCACCCCGCTGCACCTGCTCCTGGCTCTCATCTTTGCTGTCAACTTCTCTGAGCTACGGGAGTATCTCCACTGCCTCTCCCCTGTCTCGCTTTTTGTCTTTTTAAATCGAGAAAGACACACCTGCAGGAGTCTAACCTGTTTGAAGAACAGAACTAAAACAACCAACAGCTTAGTTTTTTCTTCTATTGATGACGAAAAAAAAAATAGCACGTTGCCAAAACCGTAAGATTCTTGTAGGTACCTCTTCCCGCCTTCAGCCCTGCCTTCCCAGACACAGGCAATCAGAGTGTTACCAGGAACAAGAGACGATGCAAGGCGATCCTGGGAGATGGACAACTTGGTCTTCAAAATCACGTCCAGTCCTCAACTTAGCAGGAGAGCTTTTGAAGGTAGTCCTCAGGGGAGGTGGAAGGCTTCGGGAGCAAAGGAACAAAGCGCAGGGCCCGGTGCACACTGGCCCCTGGCCAGGCGATAAGGGGTTGCTGGAAGCACAGTCACTCCTTTCATCCTGCAGTCATAAATCCAGTCCTCTGACCGCAGTGGCCAAGGCCAGATGACTTTACAACCCCAGCCAGCTTTCTCAAGGCCAGTTTTCTGGAATGCTCTAGCCAGCATAATTTATCTGTTAAGTTAAACATAAGTCTGATTAGTCCCACAGTCAGCAATTAGAGCCACTGAAGAAAGGACACATTCTAACGACTGTTCGACTGTTCGACTGTTTGAATCAGTGTCCAAGCTGTACTGCCACTTTGTTGTAGCGTTTACCACCTCCCATGGCACGCTGAGCTTCAGCTTCCAGAGATGTGCTGGACCGTATCATTCCACGTCTAAACGTTGCTCCACTCAATGATAAGATACACTGGGGTAATAAGAGGTACCCCAATTTTGCAGTAACTCTTGAAAAAAGAAGATGTCGTGGAATTAGGAGAATACAATCTACAAACATCCAAAATACTGTGCTTTTTTTTTTTTTTGCCTGTTTTTGAGCTTCAGACAAATAGAATCTTCTGTGATTGTCTTGTTGTCCATTCTGCATTAGAGATGCCTGTGTGGGCGTGGCAGCTGGCTTCTTTTTCGCTGCTAAGTAATGTCCCCCTGCAGGGTCTGTCCCCCTTTACCTGTGCGTATTTCTGTAACTGGAACTTGGATTGTGTCTAGCTTCAGTGACTTGACTATATTTGTATGTACTTCATCATACAGTTCCTCACATGCGCACAAGCCTCTCAAGCTGTCACTGTATGTGTGTTTGAATCTACTAAATCAGGTCAAAACATATCCCAAAGTGATTATACTGACCTGAATTTGCATATTTTTAAATGTAGGGTAAATTTCAATTACTTTCTCCATTATAATAGAACACAGTTTGCATATTGTTTGAGAAATGTCTTTTATATTTTTATCTATTGTCTATTTTCATTTTGTTTAAGAGAAAGAGAGCTTTTCCCTGTGTTGGTTCATTCTCAAGTGCTCACAGTAGCCGGGAGCCAGGACGCCTCTCCGACCTCCCATGTGAGACTCAGAGACCTTGCGTCCCCACGTGCGGCCTCCCAGGCGCACATCAGCAGGACTGAAAGCAGAAGTGAAGCAGGGACATAAGCCCAAGGGCTCCCAATGAGGTGTTGGCATCCCCACAAGTGTCTTCCCCCAAGAACCAAACCCATGCCCAAGGGGATCCTTTATCGAAGGTCATGGTCACGGGCGACACTGCTCTCCATGATTTTATGGTTGTGCCTTTCATTCAGGGAGATGCTCCCTGGATTTCTATTTCATTCTAATAATATTGAGGTCATCTCTTTGGATGAAAATTTGCTGTAGTGTACCTAAAAACCTAGATGGGCCTTGTGGTTTTTTTTGTCATTGGTTCCATTTATTTTTAGGAATTGAAAGCATACAGATTATCTTTTTCTTTCCAATGAGCATGTCTTCATCTCCACTAAGGTTTGGAATTTAATGTAGATGCGTTCATAAATCCTACTGTTTAGGTTCAGCTGCCTCTGTTTTCATCTTCCTTTTCTTTCATCTTCATTAAAACTATTTTTACTACTTATTTGAAAGGCATAGTTTGACAAAGAGAGAGGCAAAGAATCAGCCATTGTTTTCACTCCCCCAGATGGCCGTAACAGCCTGTTGTAGACCAGGTGGAAGCCAGGAGCCGGCAGCTCCACGCTCGTCTCTCACAGGTGGTAGGGGCCCAAGTACTTGAACGTTCATCTCCTGTGTTCCC